CGGGTTTTTTTTTCTGCAAAAGCGTGTCTTGATTGGCCATGGACGCTTTTTCACAAAAAGTGCTTTTGTGGAAAAGCGTCCGTGCCAATCTAGACGCTCTTTTCCAAAATGCTTTTAACGGAAAATTTTTCCATTAAAAGCATTTCCAGAAAATCATGCCAGTCTAGACGTAGCCAGTGTGAGCCAGGACTGAGCAGTCCCAGCTCGCACTGATTGCTGCGCCACTACATTTAAAATGTAGTAAGAGTCCAGTGTCTCTTACTACATTTAAAATGTAGAGCAGCAGCACAGTTGGCTCCGGAGCCTGTTCTTGGAGCTACCTCCACTGCAGCTCTGCACAGCAGCACTTATAGACTAATTGTGAAATCGATACAAATTGTATCAACTATACGATTCACTAGATAATCACATTTTATTATCCTTAGAACAGATCAAAGTATTGGGTCAGACAGGTCCCAACTGGGCATAAAATGCACTGTGCCCGAAATGCCAAGAGATCGGTGACTTTGGGGATTCCACACACACACCTGTAAGGCTCAGAGGGTAGATGTTTAGCATTTCTTAAAAATCAGATACTTTGGAAACATCAATCTGTGTCCTCAAAGAGAGACCTCTACACAGTTAAAATTCGACACTTACCACCAGGGACTTAACAAGTCTTTGAACTTTCTCACCCATTATCAAGACAGTTTCCCCAATTATCACCTGTAATACCATTAACTCACAAACATCCCACTCTCCCTACCTCTAATATCATCAATTCACAGACACTTACCTTCCTTCCTCCCCCTCCCCCACCCCGCATCTCCCTTCTGTTCTGCAATGTGATTTGTCCTTTTCATATTTGTTCATTTTTTTAAATTGTATCCTTTGGTATATATGGTTGTGACTATTTTCTTCCACTATTTGATCTGAGGAAGTGGGTCTGGCCCACGAAAGCTCATCATCTAATAAACCATCTTGTTAGTCTTTAAAGTGCTACATTGTCCTGCATTTTGCTTCCTCTACACATTGTGAGAGGAATGAGTAAATTCTTCATACCGCCTCTCAGTTTCTGGGAAAGGTGAGTATGTCCCAGAGGGAAAATGCTTTGTGGCACCCCAGTTAGAGAATCATTTTTTGGCACGGGGAGAGTGGTAGGGTTGTGAAAGGTGAACTGGTAAGCATCACCCTTAACAAATGATACTTACCAGTTTCAGTTAACTGGTGGGGGTCACAGCAGCTTCTCACCTCTCATGGGAAGGAGGCTGTTCCAGCCCCATGGGCACCCAATCGGTCCAGAGCAGCCTATCTGCCCTCTTTTAATCAGTTAACTGGTTAAATGGAATTTTACATCCCTCACAGGTGGCCTGTTTGTGCTAAAGACCGTCCTTTCAGAACTTGGGAAGCTGGAAATCTGAGCTGTACATGTTTTCACACGTGGACTAGTCTGAGGACAATATGATCAGAACAAGGAGGCAAGATCAGCACATTCATGCAGCACAAGCTACAGTGTGAATGAGCAAAGGGATTGAAATGGCTGCAGTGAAATAGATAACAGGCTGAACCAGCCTGCCAAGTCACCAGTTCAAGTCTTAACCTGAAGGTAAGTTTGAAGGACAACAAAGGAACAGGTAAAATGAAGACATCATGGGCCTAAAGCAAGGAAACGAAAGCAAAGGTATGAGAAGACAGAGGAGCAGCTGCCAAATCAAAACGTGCATATCACATTTGTTATGGAGTGTGCTTCCCTAGGAAAACACCAAAAGACACAGCACGCTGAAGCCAATTCCCCTTTGAAACGGGGCTGCCTGAGCAACAAGACCTGAAAAAACAGAGCTTAGCTCACTATCAGATCATTCCTTCCTCCGTGTCAGCAGTAGGGATGTAAGTGAGTAGACAACTGCCTTATAGGCTTATCAGGTAGTCAAGTTGACTACTTGCATGCCCACCCTCCTTGCTGACTCTAACAGTCAATTCCCCCCAGCACTATCTCCGCAATGTCACCTGACCCCTCCCCACACTGACAGAGGGGGGGGAAAGGAGCAGCCTCCCAGGAACCAGCCTCTGCCTGTGGCCAGCCTGGGCCACCATGGACAGGGGTGGCTCCAGCCGGGGGAGCAGCTGGGAACTCTTTCTGCTGAGGTTCTGCAGTTTAAGTGTGCCAACAGCTGGATGGGCAGGCAGCCCAGCTCTTAGTACATTTAAACTGCAGAACTGCAACAGGGATAGGTCATGGACCAAGCATGAGCTGGGAATGAGCAAACCCAGCTCAGTGCTGGCTCGCACTAGGTCCAGGAGCTACCCCTGCTGCAGCTCTGCAGTTTAAACGCAACAGGAGACAAGCTGTCTGCACACCCAGCTCCTAAACTGCAGAGGTGCAGCAGGGCTAGCTCCTGGACTCAGCACAAGTCAGTACAGAGCACCTTCCCTTATCAACTAATTGTTTAGTCAAAAATTGTATCAATACACAATTAGCCAATTACTCACATCTTAACATCCTTAGTCAGCAGTAGCTCTGGCTGGAGTAACAGAGGCTGGGAGAAAAGGGAGACAGTCTCACTACGATTTCCCTTAAGTAATGCCCACTATTGGAGAGCAAACAGCTGCCTGGCTCAGCTTACCCCACACACTAGCTCTGCCCCACTCTTGGTGCACCCTGAAATGTCTTTGTACAGGAGGAGGTTTGAAGAGTGAAGCTCTGTTCTCTTGCTCCATTCATGAGCCACAAGCACTCCCAAAAAATGGTCCCAGCTCTGATCTCAAGGTTCAGGAGGTTTAATATTACCAACCATGATGTGTACTTAGATCTGTCAGCAGAGATGGTAGAAATCTTTCCTTCATTTCCTGGGACAATGTGCAAACTTAAGTTAGAAGCATTCAGTAACTTACTCCATTTCCTTCCTCTCTGCCTCCTCTGTTGTCAGATCCTCCTCCACACTGTAGTCCAGCACAGATCCCACCCCAAATGCACGGTTCCGCTGGATCAGAGAACCTAAGACCCAGATACACTGATCCAACATGGCCTTATGGCTGTTTGTGTAATCTAAGGTTCCATCCAGTGCAGGTTACAAGAGTGCTTGTCTTAAGACTAACATATAGACTAAGTATGTAATAGTAGAGTTGATTAATTGATTAACCAATAACAAAAGCTTATATGTTAATGCTATAGAATACACACATTCTCTCCCTTTCCAATAATTTTTTTAGCAGGATCCAACATGGCCTTATGGCTGTTTGTGTAATCTAAGGTTCCATCCAGTGCAGGTTACAAGAGTGCTTGTCTTAAGACTAACATATAGACTAAGTATGTAATAGTAGAGTTGATTAATTGATTAACCAATAACAAAAGCTTATATGTTAATGCTATAGAATACACACATTCTCTCCCTTTCCAATAATTTTTTTAGCAGGCTGGCTAGCAGCCTGGCTCGGTCCCAGCTTGTGCTGGGCGTGGGACCTACCCCTGCTGCAGCTCTGCATTTGAAGTGTATTAGAAGCCAGGCGGGCAGGCAGCCTGGCATGTGCTGATGAGATGCAGCAGCGTGGGGTGGCAGTGGGCTCCTTGGGAGTGGGGCCAGAGAGCACTGGCTGCCAGCCCCACCCCTTAAGACTATAGAATAGTTGACTAACTGATAAGAATTCATGAGGTTAATCAACTATTCAATTAACCGATATTTAATATCTCTAATACAGACACCACCTCACTCTGCCCCTCTACAGCACTTTACAGAGATGCAGCAGCGTGGGGTGGCAGTGGGCTCCTTGGGAGTGGGGCCAGAGAGCACTGGCTGCCAGCCCCACCCCTTAAGACTATAGAATAGTTGACTAACTGATAAGAATTCATGAGGTTAATCAACTATTCAATTAACCGATATTTAATATCTCTAATACAGACACCACCTCACTCTGCCCCTCTACAGCACTTTACAGTCACTAAAAGAGTTCAAAATAAGATCTCCATTTGTATAAAGGAGAGAAACAAGAGGATGTGATCTTGTCCAAAGACCCAGAGACACAAGGACCAGAGCCCAGTCTCCATGCTCTACTCTAGCCACTGGACCACACTGCCTCTGAGGGAAGGATAGTGAAACATGTCACAATCCTACTGAAGAGGACCACCCAGCACAGGGAAGGGCAAAAGGGCCTCTGCAGGCCTGATGTGGCCTGCCAAGCAGGTTTATCCAGCCACAGACACCCGGCCCCTCTCCAGGTCAATCAGGGATTGGAGATGGGGGAAGACTGCAAAGTCCCCGCCCCTGCCAACAGCGTGTGGCACTTAGAATCAACTGCCAGAGTTAACTAAGCACTGCAGGCCCTGCCCTTCCCTTGCACCCAGGCTCCGATTGACCTGGGGGTGGGAGGAGCGCAGGAAGTCTCCTCCTGACAACCAGGGGTGCAGGCACCTAGAGCAATCTGCCAGCTATTTAGAACAGCTGATGGATCTAGAGGAGGAGGTGGGCAGCTGGGGACAAAGACTTTACTCATTAGCCCCACTACCAAGCCAATTTGGGTCTGTGGGTGGGGGGGAGCAAGGTGCCCTGGCTCCACCCCTTCTTCCCAAGGCCCCGCCCCTTCCAGGGTAGCCTGGAGCCTCTTCTAAAGGTTTTGAAATTGCGTCCCGTGTCTGAAGTTATTGCCCACCTGTTCCAGCAGCACCTGGCCCCAGAACCCCTACATCCCAGCGGAAGCACGCAAGGGAAAGGGGGACGCCGAAAGGCACCAGCTGCAGGCCGGGCCGGGGTGAGAGCCAGTGGGGGAGTCACTTGGGGGTTGTGCCACGGCTGGCTCCCCAG